AATCCAGGGTAAGAGCCTTTTAATTTTCTTGTTCCTGCAACAAATATTGAATCTCCACGTATTGCATTTAAGTTAATTTTCCTATTAGGTGCAAGAGACTCTGTCTTCTAGAGTGAAAACACCTTCAATATGAAAGTTAATTTAGGTAATTTAGATAGGTTGCCTGAACCAGAAATCAAACGATCAAATGCTATGCTTTTTTACTTCCTTTTTACAGGGCACGTATAAACTTAATATTTACATGATACTCTGCTTGTTGATATTGTTTTCATAGACGTGGCATTTAGTATGTGCAATCTATGTAAATGAGTGGGCTTGCCAAATTGAGGTTGATGTTTTGTCTGTACAGGTTTTGAATCTTTCAAATGGTAACGAGGAGATAGTAAATCCGGAGAATGTTTGGAATGGTATTCCTGAGCTTGCAAGGAGTCCATCTGAGGTACAGTACTGCATAACTGGTACATGAGTACAGAAATAGAGTACTGATGCAGCACTGGGTAGTCAGGTTGTTTGAGTTGTAGTGTTTATTTTCTGATCATGAAGGATATCGGTGTAGTATAAACTTTATTAGAGACTTAGTAACCATTACAATTGAATCATACTGCTTTGAACACTAACTTCTGAAACTTGCTTTATTCTATTTAAAAAAATTAACAATTAAATCGGTGTTATTCTGCAATAATAAAGCCAGTCTTTCTGGGGACCTTGTATTGGTTTAGGAGAAATCCAGTAACAGTAAACTGATGACTTTGAGCAAGCACACCATTTGGCAAAAGGAATAACATTATATCAAAGTAAGAAAATATCAGACTGGGGAGTACTGAGTAATGCTTCTGGTGCTTCAGGTCCACAAGATAATGGCAGCACCTTTAATCCATTTCAGTATTTCTGTAGAACATTTTCTAATTAGTAAATAGTAGAGCGGGAAAGAGGGGTTGAATTCCTTATTGGTTTGCTTCAAGAGCACTGATGCTTCACCAAGTGTATGTCTGGGAATAGAGTAGTGAAGTCAGACTTCCAATTACAGAAGATAATGGGGTATACTTCAGGTTTCTTCATCTTCTAAACAAGAGCCTTGGTTTGAAGAAGTGAAATAGGCAACAGGCATTTTAGTGGTTGAGACTTGGAGGGTGGGAAGTAATAATCCAAAAGCAGAGTATTGAATAGAATGCCCAAGTGTTCTAATGTAACAAGTCGGTCTGATTTGAAATGGACCATATATTTGAGTGAGCAACTGTACCATTGTCAATTGGTCTTATTCTTGTTTAGGAACCAACTAATGCAGCTGATAACTTGTATCCCTTGTCACTAGACGCCTCAATGTTTCAAGGTAAGATTTTTAACTACTTCTAATTGCTTCATTTTATGAAGAAGCATTTAGCTGAGTGTTAAATATATGCATCTTAACATTTTGAAGTGAAGTAGTGTGTATTCTAGTTAGTTAAAATAACTATTTGGAAAATTCAGTTGAGCGAACTTGCTGCTGTTGAGAGAGATTTTGTTTTCGTTTTGTTCTTTTGGTTTCTTCACTATTATGTCATAGGTTATGAAAATGAATGCCTCCCCACACGTCCTTACATGGAAGGACGGATGCTTAATGAAGAAGGTTGGTTGGTTGGTTGTTTTGTTTATGTCCAGGTATGTTAAGAACCATGACCTTCCCACTTGGGATACTAATTGTAGTAGCATGTAGGGCAGCTTGTCTCCTACTTTTCTCTTGGGTTGCTGCATTTGTCCCTGGGTTTATCAAGCTGATGCCCTGAAACGCTAGGTTTGAGTGATCATCACATTGTGCAAAGACTTTGTGGCTATAAATTAGGAAACACTGCACAGTATACTGTATTAGGTCTAAAACATAGTATGCGATCAAACAAATGAAGAACGTATAGCATTGAATAAGGGAAAAAAGCAGCAGAATTTAATTTGCATGCATCACCTCACTCTTGTTGGTTCATGTTACAGATACTCAGATGTAGCTTGAATGCAGGTTACTGTAGTACTTTTAATGGAATGATGATGAGCATTATCTGTTTTACTGTGTGCTCAACCTTTCGGTGGAGGATGGAACCTTGATTTTTCTTTTTTTTTTTATGTTGACATATTCCAATTGGTCTTTTATTAATAATTGTTTTAATATGTCAGTGTTGAAACACAAATGTACATCTTAAGTATCCATCGGATACTGCACACTTAGAACAGATGCAAATAGAGCTGAGGAGTGAACTACATTTTTGGCTTAAATTAGTTAATTTGAAATGACTGTTAGATCACCTTAAATCCAAAGTTCAGATTTTGTAGTCTTACAAAGTAGTCTTTGTAAATCCTTTGTTGTAGTGGTGGTAGTCACAAACTGGTACTGTGCTTGTAAGCAGTAAAAACAAAATTGACTTTTCCATGACTTCAGATTCAATTTTGGATGTTAAATACAAAAATTAAACATGTATAAAATGTTGAAAAATAGGATGTCAAGAGTTCTTTTAATATTCTAGCTAATACTGTAACCAAAGAATGGCAAATAGCTTTTAAAAACTTTAAAAAATATGTATTTATTAAAACTAAACTGTATTGGTATAAAAGTAGAGGAAAGGAAGTAACTTGTTTCATACTTACTTGAAAGATTGCATTAATGGCTGATATTAGACGTGAAATTTAATAATGCTGGTTAGAAGAGTTCCAATTACAGGCAACTGAAATCATTCTCCTAGTGTTGGCAGACTCTAATAGTTTGGGCAGAAATGTTCCACTTTGTGTGACTATCTCAGGGTGAAACTCCTGAGAACTTCTGCCAGAATAGTTCAGAATGCTTCTTAGGCTGTGTCCAGACATGCATGTTCAGTTCTCCGTGCTGCAAGGGAGCAGAGCAGAAAGGCTTTTTTTGACCCCTGGATACAGGTCAAAAAGCCCTGCTGGGGGGGGGAGGTGGAGTGGAGGCAGCTTGCACTGCCCAAAGCCAGAGCCTGGCTGGCCAGGCCACACACTGTTGGCAGCCAGGCTGCATGTGGCGGGAGTAATGCAACTGCAGCCTGGGGAGGCCCCCAGGACAAGGCTGCTGGGGCCACCCCAGTGCTGGTCCCAACCTTCCCTACCCCACCTGGGGTAACTTGCTGTGTGCCAGAGCAGGTTTGGCACAGGCTTTCCCTGGGGACACTGGTGGCAGCACGAGGTGTACCGCCACTGGTTGTTCCTCGGAAACAATGTCCTTGCGTGTCTGAATGTGGCCTTAGTGTGCTAGAGCAGCAGCATCAGATTTGTTAGAGGACTGTATTTGTCAGAGGCATGTGTAGCTTTGTTTCCCCTCCTGCCCTCAACAAAATCCCCCCAGAATTTTGAGTTCATCTTGGTTAACACATGAGAGTTCACACATTTTCAGAGACTTTCTAGTTACTCTAGATGGAGCATCTGAATAGAAGACAAGGTGGCTGCCTTACTTGAATGCAGAGAGAACAAAGCTCAGATTAGGATCAGATGGTAGGTAGGGGTGGGATGGCTTGGACAAGAGGATGGCAAGGCAGGACTAGGAGTCAGTTAGATGGGGGCATAACACTGAGATTTGGATGAGGGTAGATCATGAGAGCAAAGGATGAGGATTTGAGTTAGATGCAGGGGAAAGAGTCAGGATTGACTAGGTGAAGAGACTGGGGTAAAGAGGGAAGTGGGAGAGACTGGGAGAACCAGCTGAACTGGGAGTTGCATGGAGAAAGGTAAGGAGACAGGTTAGACAGGCTGGGACTAAGAACTGTGGGGAACAAATCTGGAGAAAGATGGCTGTCATGAAGAGCTTGAGAATGGAGAAGCAAAACTGGCTGGGCAAAGAGGCTGAGATTGTGGGGAGGAACCTGAATGGGACAATGACTTGTCTGGGGCAAGGAGAGAGAGTCTGAGAAGAGGACACTAGGACTGGTACAGATGGATGGAGGCAGGGGAGAAGGGGTGAAGTTCAGGGATGGAGTCAAAAACTTTGGAGTCTCTTGCCTTTCCTCTACTGTCATTAGTTACCTGGCACCAGCATTGGCAAAGTGTCTTACCCCATTCAAGTGCATTAGCTCAAAGGGTACAGGGGGCTGGTATGACAGTCTAAAGCAAGGGTGGGCAAAATGTGGCTCAGGGGCCGAATGTGGCCCGCCAGGCCATTCTATCCGGCCCACGGGGCCCCTAAAAATTTAGAAAATTAATATTAATGTGCCCTGGGCTGCCTATCATGTGGCCCTCGATGGCTTGCCAAAACTCAGTAAGGGACCCTCTGCCCAAAGGAATTGCCCACCCCTGGTCTAAAGGGTCCAGCCTTTACACCAGTGATTCTCAACCAGGGTGCTCTGGGTGCCACAAAGCTCCTTTGAAAGATGGCACAAAATGCGAGGTGATAAGCAAATAAGCACATGCTTAAACTTGTTCTGGTCTGGCTTGTCATCCGTATCCCCACTGCCTGGTCCCTTTGCAAGGGGGTAAAACATTGTCAAATATATGAATTAGCTTTTGAACTTGAGTGCCATTCAAGTCACAGAAGTTACGAAGGTGGGGCGCCTTGAGTCCAGTGAGGTTGAGAACCACTTCTTTACCTCTGCTGGCACAGGCACCTTCTACTGGTGCAAGTGTCAGCATGATGCTGCATGATGAAATTTGTTCTTTTGGGTTTGTTTTTTTTTTTTTTTTTTTTATAAACCATAGAAAATAATATGCAGATGTATGAAACTAAGCTAGAAGAACATGAAGGTTGAAGTGTCAAGCACTTAATTTTGGTATTTCCCCACTTTTAAGGTTGTTGGGGCAACCTGTTAATTCACCACTCCTTTTTTTTTGATTTGTAAGTCATGAGGGTCTGTAGTTACAAGATTGCATACTGTTTTTCCTCCCTGTCCTCTGACAAGGTCCCCCCTGCTCTGCTGTTCCCCTTCCCTCACTTCTGTTCAGTGCATACGATGGACCAGTTAGGGAATAAACTTGATATACGCAGTGAAGGAGGCTGTTGTCTGTGGGACGCCTGCCTCATTTGTCGCAGAGGCTGACAGCATAACCAATGAGGCAAGGCATTACAGGAAGAGAAGGACAGTTTACCAGCTAGACTCTGCGTGTCGGTCTGAATTGGGTTCCTCACTTTCCTGGGTGCCCAAGTGGAGATGTAGGTACCTGGTTAGCATAAATGCCAAGCGCTTCCAGCTGTAACTTAAGTTAGTGGGGGATATGCTTTGAATAGAAATGCAAAGTAACCTGAGATACTGGATCATAGGCATCTCATTGAACTTGTAGAAATAAGCCCAAATCTAAAATGTTGCTGAGCACTGGGACACCTAATTTAGGTCCATGGCTACAGCCCTAAATTAAATGCCTAGACTGTGCAGTGCATGGGGAAAATTGGGCACCCAAGTGTGTTCACAGCTGCCAGCACAGTGAGCAAGCCCAGCCTACTCAGTAAAGTGCACTGAGGACAAAATGGTGTCCCCCATTTGAGAGGGGCAGTTGTGGTGCCTTAAGTCAGCAGGAAGGCACTTCCTTTCACTTGGGAGTGAAAACAGGGATTACTTCAAACCATGAGATGAGTCTGGAGAAGTTATGAGACCTCAGTCTTACAGTTCAGGGACTAGAGCACCTCACCCAAGCTGAGTTTCCCCCTTCTGAGGGGGTTCCCAAAAACATCTCCAGAATCCCTTTACTGCCAGGCTGTAGATTTGGCTGGGATAATGTGAGAACTTTCCACTCCTAAAAAAGCTGTTCTGGTTCACATGGAAGACTGAAGATTCATTTGGCCGCAGAGAAGATGGGAGGGAGCATGACTTGTTTAATGATTAAGGTGTTTGGAAGGAAAACCACTTGGGTTCTGTCTTTGCTCTGTGGGGGTCATTGCAGCTTTCTCTTCCATTCTTTTAGCAGCTGCCAGTGATTTAGAGTAATACTGGATTCAGTCAGCAAGCTCCAAGCATCTTGGCAGGCTGAACCCCTTCATGCACTACAAGGGGAGGAATACTCAAGTTCCAGTGGCACCCAGAAACTTAGGCATCCAAAGCTAGGCTCCAAGTTGCTCTGCTCTGCCAAGACTGAGGTTTCTTTGGGACTTGCAAAGTGGCAGAACTTTTGGGAATCTGCTTGAGTTTAAAACTCTGAATACTGAAGCATTTCTAGACTTTCAGCTGCTGCCTAACCAAATAAAACTGCTAATGGAGGTTTTGAGGTTGTCAGTTCAGACTTGGGGACTACAATCTTTTTGTGGATTTCAGTGCTTTCAGTCCTCATTCCTAAAATTAGAAGAGACACCTTATGAGACATGAGGAGGGTTGTAAAGATCAAGTATGGATGTAAAACACTTACGCTGCAGGGAATCAGTGCAATGAGAATGTGTAGTGAATGAGGCATGGGAGCACCCATGGAACAGCACCATTGGGATGAATAAATACTGAGCATCTGCTTATTGACTGGTGCACAGAATGGATGAGTGCACGGGTGAGGCAAAGGTCCTGTGGTAAAAATAATACAGGATTGAAATATTTGTATAAATGGCATTGGCCTTTTCTAATTCAGGTGCTTGAATTTGAACATTCAATGTTTAATATAGTTCTGAAGATGCTGTGACAGCTTTCAAGTGCAATTACAAGTCTGCAAATTGGTGTCCTGTTCACCTTCTGGCAAAATATGATCGTTTCAGTTTGTATTTTGTGATTTACCTCCTGTTCCTTCCATACTTGGGAGTAGCTTAGCTCTAATTTTGATGATGTAGGTAGAGTCTATCTTTGTAAGCACTGCATCCAGGCAAATGGTGTAAAAATTCCCACTGTCTTGATACCAGAGGTTCCCCCAAATGTGTGTGTGTGTGTGTGTGTGTGTGTGTGTGTGTGTGTGTGTGTGTGTGTGTGTGTGTGTGTGTGTGTGTGTGTGTGTGTGTGTGTGTGTGTGTGTGTGTGTGTGTGTGTGTGTGTGTGTGTGTGTGTGTGTGTACACACATGTGCATGCATGCATGCATGTTTGTTTGTTTTAACATGGACCACAAGCATACAAAATTAGTCTGAAGTTGGACTGTAAAAATGCAGGCTTTTTTTTTTTAAGCGACTTGCTATATTACACATCTGGATTTTCATGGTCCTGCTCTCACCTTTCCCTTCTCCTTTTTTCTTCCTAGAAAAAGGAACTTGTTATGATTCAGAAGTAACCAGTCCTTGTATGGCAGCCAACATCCCTGAAAAGGCATCTGAGTGAGGCTTCTTGTTCATAAGCTCCTTGTGATGAAGAAAGTTTTCTGAGCATCACTTTCCTGGATATTACTGAATAATACGTTGTAAGAATATTTGAATGTGGTTTTCAAGCAGATGCATCTAACTACATAATCCACTTCTGCAATACTACTTTGCACTTGTTGGTAAGCTACCAAATGCCTAAATGAGAGAGAGGTTTTTTCAGTGTTAATGTGGTTTTAAGAAGTTAGATGCTGTCTTTGCTTGAACAACAATTTGTGCATTAGACCTAATAAATTTTAGCTACCAGTGTGTTTTGCTAATTGCTAACAACTTTAAGAATCTAATTAGGACAACAGATACACTATACTAATGCTATTTCTATTGGAGGTATACATGCTTTAAGCTTAAATTAGTTTAAATGAGTTATTTGAATAGGTTTGTCAACATACTACTGTATATTATGGAACACTGCTTTCTGTGCAGTTTCTGACAATGTTACTGTGTAGGAATAACTTTTTTCTAAAACAAGCAGAGACTATTTTTCACTCTTTGAGGCTTTTTCTTCCACATTTTGATATAAAAATCTTCAGTTTGAACTCCTTTAGTTTGGTTTTGTAGCAGAACAATGGAAGAAGCTGAAATAAAGCTTTATACTGTGACACATTCATTCTCTAGTCCTGGTCTTTGATGTCTCTGCTGGTTTGTAGTATACAACGCACATTTGCCTTCAGCTGTTACACAAATGGACTGCAAGCTGTTGGAAGAACAGACTTAAAAACATGGCCAACAGCAGAATATACACGAGCAACACTCCTGTGGTGCTTTGAAAACTCTTCTAAATGTCTACAAATGCCACAGATCTATATACAACACGATAGAGTAACTTCAGCATGGATAAAATCTTCAAACTTTTGAGTGCAAGATGTGACATCTTTTGCTGCTGCAGAAATTGGTGTGGAACAGACTGCAGCAGAGCACTTTTATTACCTTAAAGAAGGTAAAGGAATACTGCTGTTACAGGTAAAATAACTCAAAAGTTCGGTGCACATAGAATAGAAATGCAGTTTTGTGCCACAAGCACTGTTGATTCTGCACAAAACTGTAAAAGTAGGTTTTCCAAATTGCATAAGCAACTTGTACAAAGTAATTGACGGTTAGTGGGATTTGTGAGATCACTCAGGATATGTTTGTATGGTACAAGGCAGCACCATGCAGAGGTATCGGTGGGAGTTCTTCATGTGCCAGCTCTGGAACTAAAAGCAACTTAACTCTATCAGCGTGGCACTTGCTCTGGGTTAATAGGCTCCAGGGAGCTAATTGCTAGCCTAGGCTGTATGCAACATTAATTCGGATACTGTTTCTGATCTGAAGCTAGTATGTGCAAAGATAAGTTGGGATCTCTGCACAGCACGGCATTGTTTTACATAGCTCTATCCTTTGGTACCACGGAAAATCTTTTGCGTCACTTCTGTGTACATAAAATCCTCAACAACAATCCTCATGACAGATCTTGATGTCATTTGGTAATAGGACATTATTCCACAAAAAATCTCTAAAATCTGTTTTCTGAATGTGTGATTCTAATGGCAGGCTGTTTGTATGCAAATACTCTGCTTCAGTCAGTGGTAGCTGGGCTGCTTGTTAAAATGTAGCTGTTTAGTTTTGTGCTGTAACTTTTTTGAAACATATAAATAGGGGTCTACCCAACTCGAGGCAGCCAGCCGATTTCCCCCCCCCCCCCCCCCCGCGCGCACC